TTCCAATTTGCAGTCATTCTAGAAAGAAAAATCAGAGTAATTTAGATTTATTTCATATTTTTTGGCGGTTACAAGGACAGTTAAATGGACCAAGCCCATATAGTGTTGTTGTAGAGAAAATAACAAAATAAATATAAAGATTTTCTGGAAAAATACTTTTTATATTCATTTATGAGGTTCTAGAGATTGTGTAAATGAAATTTATAAACTGTAAAATGAAAAGAAGTATTTTTATTTTATACATGAAAATCATCTTGTGCTCAGACTGCTCAGACTCTGAGTCAGACTGAATAAAATAAATTCAGAAACAAATCTGTAGTATAAATACTTACTAATAATTTTGATTCTTTTGTGTATAACATACTTGTAATGAAAGTGTACCAAACTTCTTAGTGATACACTAAGTAAATTTGGAGTTATAGTAAGCATTTATTTTCTAATATGGGCTTGGTCCAATGGGCTGACCACATGCACATAAGGATATTAATTTTTATATTACAGTACCATTCAGATTTTAAGTATTCTGTATATTTCAATTTTAATGAAAATCAGTAGTTTCATATGGATTTATTATGTACAATCTTCAGTTGTCATGAATCATTCATGACCAATAATAATGTTATTTTTATATTTGAAAACTGATATATAAATGTGTTTACAGTTGTTGCTATGGAGCTTCTGTTTGTGATAAAACATTACTATAGTGAACTTGTTATAGTATTTCTTTGTAATACAGGTGCATTAGATATTGTTGAAAAAATGCTACACTATTTACAGTAACAAATTAACAAGCTAATAAGCGAAACATCTGACATGACTTTGTAGCATTTAAATTTCATGTCTATTACATAAGGGTGTTGAAAAGGAAATAAACTGATTTTTTATAAACTGTGTCAGATACACTCCTGCACTAAAATTTAAGATTAAGATTATGCATCATTGTTAACAACATTATACTGGCTAGGAAAGACTTGACACCTCTTATAAGAGTTGATCTGTTTACTCTGTTTAACATAACAGTGTAAATGGACCTTAAAACATTACACATTATATTGGCATGGGAAGAATTGACACCTCCTATACAAGTTGATCAGCTTCCTCTGTTTTTACATTACTATACATGGTTGTTTTCATTAATTGATAAATTACTTTTTTGAACTATTTTAGTTTGCTCTGATCTTTATAGTTAGCTTACTTTTGTAATATTAACTACATGTTTCTGTTCTGAATAATTTCAGAGGTCAGATTTTGCCTGCTACAGCTTTAAGCAGTACGGTTGATGTGGAACTTATACATGATGGTTTGAAATATGACGTTAAGGTAGGCTAGCATTTTGTTATTACTAAATTGTAAAATAACATTATTAGCTAGTGGTGACTTAATTGAAAGGATGTATCTACATGGATACTGCAGGAAGTTTCACTAATGTTTTAAGGTATAATTATTATATACAAGTACATTACAGCTTCTAAACCAGCTGGAACCAGCAACCTCACATCATATCCAGTTAAAAACCAGCAATAATGTTGGAAGTTGACTGCCTAAACCAGCTAAGATCCATCTAAAACGATCACAGTTCCCTTTTGACACTAGCAAGTCTAGGGCAGACCAGCATGATAGCTAAGCTGGTCTGTGCTATGTTTTCCAATAGGGAGAAAGGAAGAAAGAAAGTCCTGTAATTGTTAGTCATATTCATCAAGTTTGTTGTTTAAATTTTACTCTTAATGTTTTCTTAGCCGTATGGTAACATAATAAGTCATGTCAATCTGTACTTAATAAAAACATAAAATAACCATCAGTTTAATTACTTGGTCATAGTTTCTTCGAGATGGTGTAATTAGTTGATACCTTGTTTGCTTAGGTTTTACATACTATAGTGATGTTTGTATGGAATTGTTACCATTGTTAAGTGCGGCTAGACCTATTCATGCTAATCAAATGAAAGGCCTTGGTCAATCAAAATCTCTTCACTCTACATTTTCATGATACTGTTAGCCATATTCATCCCTTATGGCTTGTGTCCGAAATGCTGATTCTTATAGTATGATCAAGCAGTAGGCCTAGAATATAACTAGATCTAAGTTGCAAGGCTAGATTGAAGATATTTATATCTTTCAATTCATTCTCAAAGACTGCAGATTTTTGTTCAAGAAAATAGTTCACCCATCAATAACAAGGTAAGTGACAGTATATTAAGCTTTTTTGATATATTGTATCAAGTGTTTGTGTTTCTTGAACAGAATTTGCAAATTATTCTCCCATAAAAAATCCATAATTACTTGTGAGACTACATTGGCCCACTTATCAGCTGTAAATAATTTGTTGACAAGATGACAAGCATTATTAATTCGAGGGTATAGAATACAAATCATTTAAGTACAAAATTTGAAATTTTTGAGTTAAGTACAGAAAATGTTATGCAATCATTTGTTATGAAACTATTAGGTAGCTCATTCTGATATATCTCTCTTTCTCTTGTTGTCTGTTTCTCTCATACACACACACACACACACATTATTCATCAAGTGTTCATCTTATTTATTATACAGATATACAAACACAAGTGTGGTTAGGAAAAGCTACAAAGGAAGTGAAAGAAAAAATTAGAGAAAGCAGTAGCTAAAACTAGAAAGTTACCAGCTTTGTGGGCTTTGTCCTCTAGTGCTGAAACCCTTGTCAGCCAAGACAATGGAAATAACAATGTAGACACTGAAATCTATAGATGCTGATGACCTTCAACCTCATCATTTCAAGTGCTGAAAACATAAACACCAACCAAGACTGTGAAAACAATTGTGTAGAGACTACAAATATCATTGCCAATGACTGTCAACCTCATCAAATTAAATCAAGCCCCTACCAATAGGATGAAATCAGTTATTGCAATGATGATGATGAAGATACTAACCCATCCTTTACATTTGACAATGGGACATGGACACAAGTTTCTGATGAAATGAGAGATTTTGTTTGTGCATTGGAGGTTATCTCTTGGCAATACATGGATGCAGACTTAATTGCATCTACAAAATCGATTCCGAGCGACAAGTATAAATGCCAATGTTCAAATACTCTTTTTTTTATCAGGAGCAATTGAATGGAGAAACGGTTAAAAATGGCTTTACTACTCACCGTTGAAAATGAACATCTTCTGTGTTATATGCAAATTGTTTTCAACAGCATTGGAAATTTCTTCATTAGCAACAACTGATTACTCTTTCTGGAAACATGCTGCAAGGGACTTTAGTCAGTATGAAACAAGCTTGTTTCATCACTAAATTTGTTATTCATAAAATCAAAAGTGGATGAATTGACAAGACTTTAACAGAGCAGATGGAGTCAGAGAAACATTCTGGCACCAAGTTATAGAGCATATTCTAAATTAATGAGAACTAGCAAGTTCCGCTTCTCGGAGATTGCTTACCAGTAAGAATGTGGCAAATCTCTCTACACATCCATCATCTGGAACATTTCTAAAGATTATTGTCGGTTGATCCATACAGGAAATGTCTGGAGTAGAAGAATCAACAGATACTGAGTAATACTTAGATGTTTTGATTTCTTGGATGTTGGGAGTAAGAACTTTTTTGTGTAGGTTTTCTATGAATTTGTCACAAACAGTTTAGGGTAAATTTAAAACATGACCTTTTCCCTAATTTGTACATTTTTGAATGTGTTCACCAAGAAATATATCAAACTTAGACAATAGATCCAGTATTTCTAAGTAATTGTCAGTATGCACTGAATGAACTACTTCATTGCTTCCTCTGATTGCTAGCCCTCTAAATGATGGAAACTCTATGACTGAAAAATTGCAGAATAAGGCTTCTTGACTCTGAGCACACTTGAAGCTTTTCAGAATCATTTGTAATGGAAGTGAGGACTTGCATTATGGCTTTTTACCCCATTTTTAAGGCTCACATTGCATCTGAATGGGTGCTCCATCTTGCATCTGATAACCTCTTTATTGTCAGGAACCCTACTTTTCAAGCACATTGCGTAGGCACTCTCACAGTCAGGTTGCAGGTGAGAAAAACACATAAACTTCTATACAAATGTAAAGGCTAAACAAACTTCAATACAGCAGTTCAGAGAGCATTGTCCAACCAAATGGAGCTAACGAGCACAGCAGGGAACATAGTCTGCTATGTGGTTCTTCTCTGTGATCAAGGCTCGGATGCACTGTTGTAAGACTTTCCATGACAATTTTGAATTCTTATATTTTTCTTCCTTTTCCTTGATCTTTCGCATCTTGACAGTTGTTTAACCTTTTCCTCATATTCAGGAAATTAATCTTGTAATTCCTGCATGGTTGTCTTGAGAGATTTTAGCAGATGAGGAGCTGTACTGACATCCATTTGGGAGTTTGGTATTGAATGACTTGTCTTGTGAAACCTCTCTGGGATAATGCTCTATAATTCCGTCATTATATCTGTTTCTAGTTGTTCTCATGATGATATGAAGAGGATGCCGAGAACAGTGATTTTTCATCCTCTACTCAATATTAAGTTAAAATGTTCTTAACAATAATTGAAAAACTGTCACTTGCAGTGGACAACAGAATAGTAACATATTAAAATGTTACTTGCAAATTTAGGTTTCTAAGAAAGTTAAGAGTCCATGCCTATAAAAGACTTCCAAATGCCAACAAAAAGCTGATTATTATGTATCGTATGGACTTGGAGAATTGCACAGAAGAAGAAATTTTTCAAATTGCCACCCTCTGCAAGGCAGGGTTCATTGAAAAACAATCAGAATCAAAGGAACAAAGTATGCTGAGAATGATATGCAACCAGTCTCTGAAATCAACTTTCCCAAATGTCCTGATAATCTTAAGGATGTACCTTTACCTCATCAACCAGTTGCTCAGGAGAAAGATCTTTCTCAATGCTAAAAAGGACAAGGAAAACATTTTGATCAACAATGTACCAAGACAGGCTAAATGCACTGGCACTTTTGTACATAGAAAATGGTTTGATATCAAGTAGATCATAAATACCTTTTCTAAAGAAAGAGCCAGGCAGTAGTTTAACCAAGTGTACAGATGACATGATCTACTACTACTGCTGGTCATACTATGCGAGTACAGGTGTGATCTATGTGTGTGTATATGCATGAATACACGAGTTGTTAAGTGTATGTGTTTTTTTCTGTCTGTATGCTTTGCTGTCCAAATACAAATTTTGTTTGTGTTAGAGCACCACTTTTCCTATTCAAGAAACATCTGACATTGTTCATTAATTTGGAGATGAGTCTTGCAAATCTGTGGGTATTATTTTCCCATTGTCTCTAAAAGTAAAACATATCTTGAGGTTTAGTTTGTTTTTTTACCTTGGTCTTTATTTGTGATCATAATAGGCCCAATAGAAATATTTAGCCTCAGGCCCGTATCACCCTTAATCTGGCCCTGGTGTTATTAATATCTGTGTAATCTTATTATAGTCATATTTGACAGTATTTCACTGCAAAAGTTCTTGTGTGTTTATCACCAAGTGATAATCCCCTTCACTGGCTGAGTGTAATTTATTTTTTTGATATTAGGATTTGAAATGGTGACTATTAATGGTCTTTAATAATTCTCTAACAGCTACTTTAAAAGTTGTGTACATTTAAAACGTTGATATTTATTTAAAGTTTTCTCCTTGAAACATAAACATACATCTAAAGTTAACATATTTAATTATGATATGTTACTTGACAATTTATCAAAATAATTGTATAAAGCTTAGAGTTCAGGTGTGAAAAATTTATGTATTTGAAAAATTGTAATATTATTTGCAGTTGCAATAAATTTTGTAATTTTTTTTACCAAAGACTACAAAAAAGAAGATATTAAGTACATGTAGCTTGTTTCACAGTACAAGATTGATAAAATGTGAATGTTAATCAGCAAAAAAAAAAATTTCCAGTGGCTCAGCAGTAAGTAAGTCTGTAGGCTTACAATGCCAAAAATCAAGTTTTGATAACTGTGGTGGGCAGAGCACAGATAGCCCATCATGTACCTTTGTGCTAAACAACAACGAAAACCAAACCAGTAAAAACACATGTATCATTAAAACTTGATTATCACACCTATTTGTTAATGGATAACATAACATACTGTATTTGGGCTAACTGGGAAATCTCAGTAAACTGTCTGAAACAACATCTTTGTTTACAGGGTATTAATTTATTTATAAATGGATGTGAAACAGTTGAAAATTAATGTAGTTTACTGCACATATAACTTAATTATAAGTTAGTTTTCAACTAAAAATATTATATCTTGTAGTTTAAACTAAATACAATTTGCACCTTTTTTCTAGGCCTCTAGATATGGACCTACATCTTATTTTTTGTGTTTGAACAACTCTGTCAAAGAAGTAGAAGTTCACCGATTAAATGATGGAGGGTTACTAGTTTCAATAGATGGTACAAGCTATGCCACTTACATGAAAGATGAGGTTGATCGTTACCGTGTAGTCATAGGAAACCAGACCTGTGTGTTTGAAAAAGAAAATGACCCCACGGTGCTGAGGTAGTCTCAAACACAAGTTTTATAGATACACTAATATATCCAAAAAAGTTATTTATCCTTTTTGTAGTATTTCACAAAAAACAACACCTTTTGTGTATGTTTTGTCATCACCTACAAGTGCTCCTTGATCAGATTTAGACTTAGTATACTTTGAAGTTATCTTCAAATTTGATAAGGCTATATGATTGCTCGTGTGAAAAACTGGTTCTTTAAGAAATATTCCTACATGGTTGTCAAATGTCTATTCCTGAGATTTATTAAATATGATGGCAAATGCTAATAATTGGAGGGTAAAGGGTAAGTCTATAAAGGTATAACATTTCATAAAAAATGCTTATACTATTTTTTACTAGATTTAAAAAAACTTACAGAAGATCAAAAACACCAAGAATGTGTTGTGGCACCATCTATTGCATATCACAAAGACATACATTGGTGTGTGTGTGTGTATATATAGGTTAAGTAGTTAGCACACAGGATCACCTAAAGAAGTTGTAATATTTTCAAAAGGAGACTAAAATAAACTTTAAGGAATGAATTTGAATTAGTCATAAAAAAATACAATGTTCATTTTTATTTATTTATTTAGATCGCCTTCCACTGGGAAGCTTCTTCACTTTTTGGTTGAAGATGGGGCTCACCTGCTTGCAGGACAATCTTATGCAGAAATTGAAGTGATGAAAATGTTAATGACACTAACTGTAAATGATGCAGGCTGGTAAGTTAAGGTTTCTTAGCATTGCTTCTCTATAATAACTGTTTACATAGCAACACATACAAAGCATAGCACTGTTTGAAAATGTAAGATTTTTTTCATTGAGTCATATACTTTAGAAATGTGTTATGTTTTAATGCATTAGGTATATTAGTGTATAAATTTTGATATGTTTTATAACATTATTTTAAAATATCTTCAGTCAGAGTTAGGTAGTTTTATGTTTTTTCAAAGATCTTCCTGTAATATCTTTTGTCCTAGATGTTGAAGTAACTTGAAATACATTGAGTTAGTAATCAATATGGTAATTTAAAAACTTAGAAAATGTAATATTTAACCAATTAAATGTCACAAAGGCTTTTTCTGATTTAGGAATTTTAATGTGTAACAATTTGGCTATCAACCTAAGTTTTTGTTACACCATCAAGTATTAAATTAATAAACCTTGTAAATATGTTTTGCTTTTTTTATATATTCTTGCTTTCTAAAATATTTAAGCAAAGTGTAAATTCATATGAGGTCAAACCAGCCTAATTTTCCAGAAAAATTGTTAAATATTAGAAACTTTCATTCAGATAGTTGAAAGCATATGAAGAATGTATTGTGATTAGTTTTCTTTCTCATTCATGGCCTACTGGTAGGGCACTCAATTATAATGTGATGGTCAATCCCACTGTTTGTTGGTAAAGAGAGGCCAAGAGCTGGCAATGGGTAGTGTTAACTAGCTGCGTTCCCTCTAGTTTACCACTTCAAAACTAGGGATGGCTGGTACATACATGCAGGCAGCTTTCAAGTAGCTTTATGCAAAGTTCAACTGACAAACTCACATGTGTATGTGTTTTTGTTTTTTTTTTTTCATGTAGATGTAGCTTTAATTATGACATTCTTTTTGCAGTATTCATTTTGTAAAACGTCCAGGGGCTGTACTGGGTTCTGGAAGTGTATTGGCGAAACTGGAACTGGATGATTTGAGTAGAGTTGTTAGAGTATGTATTACCTGATGTACTATACCAAGAAATATATCTTAAATAAAATTAGTAAAGTTTAAGCTTAAATGTAAGAACATTAAATGTAATGTCTGAAACACATGGCAACATAAGGAAAAAGAAATATTCTTGTAGGAATAATATTAACTGGTACAGAATGTGTGCTTTAATGACACATTACCACACACACACACACACATATATATGTGTGTGTGTGTCCTAAAATTTCTATAAAATTGGAAAAATGTGTGACAATTTGTTGATGTGCTCAATTCACATATACTTGCAGTACCATTATTTCTTTATAAAATGTAAGTTCATTGTTCTAAGCCCCCCCCCCCCAGTGGCACGACAATAAGTCTGTAGACTTATAACCCTAGAAACCAGTTTTTGATGCATGTAATGGGTACAGCGTGGATAGCTTATTGTGTAGCTTTGTGTTTAATTACAGACAAACATGGTTATAAATTGTTAAAACCAGGTTATTTAATACTTAATAGACCAATACTGATAGAAAGTTTTTATTACATGTAGAAAAGTAAAAATTAATTATTTCTTTTGTTTAAAAACATTAGTCTTACTGTAAGAAAAAAAAGACAATTCAAAAATTGAAGTGTACTAATCTTGTAAAACTGCCTGTTTTGGTTTGATTACATGTTTTTGTTTGGATTAAGCACAAACAAAAGATGTATATATAAATTTTCACAACCATATTATCTAGCAGGTAAATACATCTGGTTATATTACCAAGTATTATTCAAACTGATTATGGTATGGATTTAACATTGTGTGTTTTAGGTTGATGTGTTAACAAAAAAATAAGAATTTTCAGTGTGCTCTACAAAGAAACAATAGTAAAAGAAAATACAATATTCATAATTGAAAAGGGCTTTTTCTTGTGATTTTTCTAAACTCTTAAAATTGTATGTGATTTAGCCGCATTCTTGTTTGTTCTTTAAAATGAAAATGATTTCCATACATTAAAGATCTACAAAATATTAAACTAAAACTTTTTGTCTACTTTTTTTTTGTTAAACTTTGAGTTTATGATGACTTAATTTATCAGATTTTAAGCTACTAAGCATCATTTTTTAAGTTCAGTTTTAATTCTTCTACACAAAACTAATTTGTTATTATTTTTTAGTGTCAAATGAGCCCCTTTAATAAAGTAATTGGAGATTTAATCACTATAGTGAACTTGTATTGGCTGATATCACCTAATTTCTTCCAACAGCTTGAAGTTTTATAGATGTTTACTCCAAGTTTTTCTGTTCCAACTATTCTTTGTTGGTGTTTGTAACAAGTTTCTGTATGGCCATACAATTTTACATCATTCTCCAAAGCTTATAAAACAGGTGTTAACTCAAAGCACAAACTATAACATTGCTAATGATTTGAACATATGTAGTTTAAAAAAGTTTTAAGTATAAAGGTAATAGATTTTTGATTAAAATTATTTTCTTCTGTCTATATCTGACTGTATTAATTTATTTTAATTTAGTATAAAACTGAAATTATCACTATTTTGTTTATTTATCTGTCTGTGTTTCTGTTCAGGTATCTGAAGCACTCATTCTTAATTTCAATAGACATTTATGGTCTGATCTGCTAAAAGTGATTTAATAGTATACTTTTGTCCATATTTTGATTAAACCTTATTTAGTTTTTGGGCAATGTGAGATCTAAGAAGAAATGAAGATTCAGTATTTTGGGCTCATTTTCTTGTGTATATTAATGTTTTGTTGTTACTCTGGGAATTTTTTTACCATATTTCAATCTTAATGTGTTATATTAACAAATAATAAAGTGAAAGTCATCATTGTCACAAAGCCACTAAAAATCATTTATTCACACATACGAGTGAAACTAAGTAAAAGTTGTTTGAACTGATAATAAATACCTGTTTAAAACTGAACCTTTCAGACTGAATGAACTTTTTGTGCAACTGTTTGTCTCCTAAAACAGGCCCAACTTTTTGCTGGAACCTTTCCACCTTCTGAAAAGAGTGAACTTGAAGAACACAAACTAAGTCATGTTTACCAAATTTCAAAGCGGTGTCTAGAAAATATCCTTGGAGGTTATGTCATTCCTGAGCCATTTTTTGGACTGAAAATGTCAGAAACTGTAAACACTTTTATGAAGACACTACATGACCCAACATTGCCTCTTCTAGAACTGCAAGTGTGTAATCTCTTCTGTTATATCTTTTATGTGCCTGTTTTTTTGTTTTTTTAAGTTGTGTGTTGTGTGATGTTGTGTTATGATCGTGGTTGGCACTATTTACAATTCGACCTTGAGGAAAACAATGCTTAAGAGATAGCATTGCCAATGTAAGTCATATATTAACCAAGTATATGTTGTTGTTTTTTTAATCAAAACATGTCAGAGATACAGTGGTTAGTAAAGTATATCTTAAACCCATTTTGTTTTTAAAGCTATTTCTAAATAATTTTTTTCTCATATTTTATAAACAGGAAATAATATCATCTGTCTTGGGCAGAATTCCTACAGCTGTAGAGAAAACGATAAAAAAACTGATGGGTGAATATGCAAACAACATCACTTCAGTTTTAACACAGTTTCCCAGTCAGCAGGTAAATCAATTTTAGCTCTTAATTAGAAGTTACTTTAACTTACAGAAAACAGTTAATAGATTTGTTCAGAGTTTTTAGGCCTATAGCAGCACTCTACAATCTTCTCATATTTTGTGGCTCAATAATTCTCCTAACAGAATTATACAGTTTTCTCATATCAACTTGAAAATATTTTCTACCAGTATTAAAACATTAATATTGTTATATAAATGTATTTTTTAACATATTAAAGTCACAGTATGTACAGATTAAGGTTGTTATTATAATATTAATATCAATACAATAATTAGAAAAATACTCGTATCACGTTAACACATGAATTGAAATATCATACATTAATATTTATATATATAATCTTGGCTTTTAATTTTTTTTTTGTACATGTAAATATATTTGTTCATGTTAGTGTTAATCTGTTGCAGTTTTACATAAACATTTGCAAAAGAATTTTGCAAACACCAATGCTTATTTTGTCTTAATGAAAGACAATTTACAACATGATCACATACTGGTTAATTTCAATTTGAAGTTAGCTATAACATATATATATTCACCTACTGTAAGCCATATCTTATCACTGTACTTAACACAGTACTGCATCTTATGTTTGTGAATGTAATTTCTCAGAAATTGGTATACACTGTAAAAAATTACAGATGATCACTATACTATCTGTATATATATGTGAAATAGTTCCTCAAGACCATACTTTAGTTTATGGTTTCCATAACCAATAAATGATCCTTCTTTTGAAGACCAAGAAATCAGCAAGAGCATTGAAGAAGGAAATTAACATTGAATTTCAAATTTAGTTCAAGAAATTTGATTTTCAAAACCTGTAATTTTCATTTCAGATTTATTCTTGAAATTAACTTTCATGTATCATGGAACTTATGAAAATGCATCTTTGTTGTGGTCACTGCCTGAATGAGATGTATATATTTCATTGTTTAAACTGTTCCTCTTTTAATATTGAAAGTTTCATGCTGAAAGCATGTTTTCTGAGCTTAGTAAAAATCATTCTAAATAATTAATTTCAGATATTTTAGTTGGAGAAAAAATGTATTTAACTACTAATTAAACATTGTAAAGAGTTTAAAATACCAATACCCAAATACTACAAGTAATAAAATAAAGTATAACAAACTTTCCAGTGCTGCCCTCTATATGCATGCCACAAGCCTTCTGCTCCCCCATCCCATTTGTATCGAATGATTCCAACATGTTTTTCATGTGACTCCCTCTATACGGCTCTACCGAACTATCACTTCTCGTTTGGCAGTGCTTGTGCTTGGAGGTGTTCCTATTTGTTTGTTTAAGGTTTTACTTTCGTCTTTCGTATACTCACAAACTAGTCTTCATTTATTTTCACTTCTAGTTTCTATTAAGACTGTTTCTTAACTTCACTTTAATTCCAGTTTATTATGGTTGCATTGTTATTTATACTTTCGATTACTGGATGATTCTTCCTCATCATGAATTCTGAAGTTCATGTTACCACTGCAGTGATCACACCTGCGACTAGCACTATGTCTCAGGCCTTAGGTGCAGGCGACCCGGTGGGGGATCTTTCCACATTTATTCACTGGGAGATTGAATGCTACATGTGTCAACCTCTGTCTCCGGACCTCACCCCACTTCCTCCTGAACAAGCTGAGCTTGGTCAGGTGGACAAGGAATTGGATCACCTATTTCCACCTCCTGATTTTGCCGTGCCTTCCCATGCCCCACCTGAGGAGGCAGTTAGGCCTAATACAGTCTTTTTGGATTTTGTTTTTCAGGTATATGACATTTTATCCCTTTCCCCTGTTTCCTATGAACCACATCCTTCCTTACTACATGACCATCCCTTTAGTAGGCTCTTCACGATCAATGGAACCTTGCTCATGATCCGTTGTCAGCTCCTGTTACCCTTCCTCCTACCTTGATGGACGATCTGCATTGGTGGTTGGACATATGTCGGCTGGTGTCCCACTTCCTCCTCCTTGTCCGGATTTACATTTTTTCACAGATGCAATTCTTCAGGGCTGGAGTGTATGTGTCAGTCACCAAGAGGCTTCAGGTCATTGGTCTGTAGACAAAAGGGCTTTGCATATCAACATCCTCAAGCTTCTTGTGGTCTGTTGGGCTTTGAATCACTTCCTTCTTCTCGACAGACATTGTTTGGGGATGATTAATTCCAACAATTCAACGGTAGTAGCACATATCTATTACCAAAGTAATACACACACACACACCACATTCATCTCATTGCATGTCATGTTCCATGTGCTTTCAATTTTGTAGCATATTTTCTTTCCCGCCTTGACTAAATATATTCGATGTAGTGGTCTATTGATACCCTCCTTTTCCGGTTGCTTTGCAATTGGTGGGACTTTCCCCATATAGATCCATTTGCCACATACCTCAATCATAAGTAACTCCTTTTTGGTACCTCATCCTCAGGCTCTGGATGTCAATGGAGTGGTATGGATGAGATAGATCACCCACTGAAGTAAACAGATAGGAGGATGAACATAAAGGAATCTGTGGGACCAATCCTGGCTGAAGGCACGTGAAAGCCACAGATGAGCTGGTCAGTAAGGAGCGATCAGCAGGACTCAACGATTACAACAACTGCAACTTTTTCCCCCAGTACCTCTTCCTTTGTCTCCCTCCCTTCTTTGTCAACCTCAGTCAATGGTTCATCATCCAGTCATTCACATCCTTCATCTTCATGCCTGGCTTTTATCCAATCCTTGGCAATGAGATCAGGTTTTCCTGTCAAGTATCTTTCCTTTTAGCTCATTCCATATGTCATTCTTCAAAGGAGGTTCATCAGTGCAAATAGAAAGTGTTCCACAGTTGGTCTGCGACTCGGGAATTCCCTGCTGACCCACCTACTGTGGCTCGAGTTTCTTCACATGACGTTTTCACAAGGGGTCTTCAGTCTCCATGCTCTCTGGTTATCAGGCTGCCTTTTCCCATACCTTATAGCTAGGGTAGTAAAGCGTACATGAAACATCAATGGCAAACAAATCAGACCTTTGAAATCCACAGGCTAAGAGGAGAAGGAAATATGTTTTAAGGGAAAGGTGAAACATGGAACATGAGGAAAGTGGTTCAAAGGCAGGGAATGGAGGACCACATTAATATACCAGTCCAAAAGAGCAGGATGTCTGGGGGGAGGACAAAACCGGAAGGAAAGCATTAACTTAGTAAGGACAGGATACCCAAAACTCAATGGTATCGAGAAAAATGAGATATGGTGTAATTAATGGGAGACAAGAATATTAGGTGTAGTCTGACTGTAGGATTTCCTCTAATGACTGACAAAAACAAGATGCAAGGGAAAAAGGTGAGGTGTCGAATCTGATGAGAAAACACCTGGAACAAATTTCCAAAAAGAAGACAAGGAGAAATAAGCCAACTGATTCAAAAGTCAAACCCAACTGGTGAGGGTAGAAGGGAAACATCCAGAACAGAGGAAGACTGCCAAGGGATAAAGAGTCGGAAATGGGTACCACAGAAGGAAGCCATGCGGGCAATATAACAACTAAAAGTGTAGACTGGACATAGAAGCCTATCTGGATGAAGGAGAAGGTGGTTTCTTCTTCATCGGGTTTTCGTCTTCCACCTGTGGCCACTCTTCAGGCTTAGTGCGACTTTAATTGGGTAAGTTTATATTCATACTTGTCTTTTCCTTTCAGGGTCCCTTGCTTCATTTACTCATTATACAGAGATTACTCTGTGGTGAGTGTTGCTTGACCAGGTATTCTTCAACTTGAAATCTGCACTGCACAGACATGATGACTCCCACTTTATCTTCCATGTCTTCACAATGCTCACTGTTGAGATGGGGTGTTCCACAAGATCACTTGTAGGTGAATAACCTAGTGATGTAATTGCTTAATAAACTTTCTTATTCCAGACTGTACCACCCATGGACTGCATGGGTAAAGCAGAAGGGGATTGCTGCTCATCCCTGCCATGCCTTGTGTTGAAAAAATCAATATGGTCTGATTTTCAGAATAGGGTTTGTCACCAATTGCACTGTCTCAGGTGATGACGTTCCACCGGACTCTCCACCTTGTTCTTACTCCTCCCCCTTCTTCTAGTGGAGTTTGGGAGTTCTTTCCAGTTCCAAGTTGCTGGGGTTGTTGACCGTGGGGTCACCCTCCTGAATGGGTTCAACACAAAGATGGCTATAACTACTCAGTGCAGAGTACGGTGGTGATATTCTGTGGGTGTAGATGATTTGATATCCTCCAATATGCAATATACACGCACAGAGGAGTGAGACATCAAATTGCGGTTCACCCCTTTGATTGGGAGCCCTCGTCCTCCCTCCGCATGGATGTCAATACCCTTTAGCTGGGTTTTGGATTTAGAGTAGAATGAATCAACATAAGTCCTCACACATGGGTATGGTTGTTTATATTCCTCCCTCAATCATACTCCTTCCGTGTTGTGGGTCACAGTGGAGGTAAGGGGAATTGTTCCAGTTCTTTTCTTTTTGCTATCCCTCGTTGTATCTTATTCCGAGGATATTATTGCTTTTTGGATGGTTCTGGTCAGATTCACTGTTGGGGGAGTTGATTTATATTATAAAGACATCCTTTCGATACAGGGTATTGGGTCTCCAGATCGATAGATCAAAGCTAACACATGTGTTTTGCTCAGGAGTTGGAGTGGTTCTCGATTCCTCCCTGTTTCTTGAACTTGAGGTGAAGAGGAGGGTATGATCCTCATCCTACCCCCGTGTGGATGTCGTTTCTCAGCAGCATAGGATTTGGATGTAGTTGACTTACCAAATACAGGACGTTGTTGCCTAGCCACTCTACACCTAGGAGCACATCAATTGTTTTACTCACTTTTATACTTGGTGGGATTGAGTTACATATATATATACATGGTTTTGGATGACTCTCCTGCCACAGTTCTCTCCCACTTGGATCTGCTCCTCTTATTTGCCACCCTTACCTACTACACATTTCATGGATGAGTGAAGAGTATACCTGTTTCAGAAGTGGTGCAGTTCCCCTCATCAGATCTTTGGATCTGACTCTTTCATTTCAAGGGGATCCTTCAGATGCTTTTTTTTGGGGGGGTACTTCTGTTATTGCCTCACACCAGTCCCGTCAGTACCTAGTCAGTATGGGATTCTAGCTAATCTTGTGAGGGGAGGGAAGTACCATATTGGAAGTTATAATTTTCCTATACTGAAAATGTATTTTTTATAGGTACTTCCCTCAGTTCATACTTCCCAGCCTTCTTCCCCACTTTCCTCTGGTGCTCACGTCTTCTGACAAACCTCGAAGTGATAGTTTGGTAGAGGCATATAGAGGGAGTCACATGAGTGTGTCATGCTTCTATTGGTGGAGAAGTGACAAATGATGATTTTCATGAGAGAAATGATGGAATCATTCAATTCCAATAAGGGGGAGCAGAAGGCTTGTGGCATGTGTAAAGAAAAAAATTGCATATAGATGGCAGCACTGGATGAGAGTTAATCTTGTGTGTGGAGGGAAGTACCTACTGGAAATACATTTTCAGTATAGGAAAATTATATCATTTGTTAGTAGTTATTGATGTTACTTTTAGTTTTTAACTTATCTGTTGGATAGTAGAAATGTATGATTTTTAACTTACTGATACATATCTTATGTAATTGTTATTTGTTTCTTTTGTCACAAGTGGTTGATACAATTTAATAATGAAATTTTGGTAATGATAATGTTTATTAAATACATCAATGTTGCATATTTTTATAATGATTTGATTATTTTATTTTAAACATTGTGGGGCTGTAGATAGCTAGTGTCATTGATGGATATGCAGCAACTCTACAGAAGCGGTCAGATCGTGATGCTTTCTTCCTGACTACTCAAGGTATAGTTCAGCTTGTTCAGAGATACAGAAATGGAATTCGGGGACAGATGAAGACTGCTGTGCAGGATTTATTGAGACGGTATCTTATTGTGGAATCAGAGTTTCAGTTAGGTGAGATAATTATATACAGCATTGGAACTTAGTAGCTCATAATGCATTAATATAGTTTTTTGACACCGACTAAAAGGAAAAACTCATTGATATTTCATTCAATTGAAAAGTTTTAAGTATTCTAATCAGAATATAAATTTCAAAGCTAGATTTTGCAACTTTTTATCCATAGTAATTAAACTTCTAACTTCTAGCTAACTGCAAAAATCATATCCATTATTCCTTGTTTGAATTTTAGCCAAATTATATTTATTATAAACATTTTACGAGTTTTTAGGCCTCAGTTGTAATTGAAAGTGACAACATCTGTGGCTTATGTTTGACTTTAGCCCATTGGTAGTGGCTGTTTTACACAAAAAGTTAGACAGCACAAATATCAGTGAATGTTAAGATATAGAAACAGAACTTTATTCAAGCATATTTCACTTTTTTGTGTGAAAGATCCTTTATTGGCTTCCTGAAGATTAGATACTGTAAGTTAAAAAGGTATAATATGTCCATTTGTTTTAGTTTTTAGCTGTATGTATGCCCCCCCAGTGACATAGCGGTATGTCTGCGGACTTACAACGCTAGAAACCGGGTTTCGATACCCGTGGTGGACAGAGCACAGATAGCCCATTGTGTAGCTTTGTGCTTAATTCCAAACAAAATCTGTATGTACATAATAACTTGATCTTTAAGCATATTTTTTTTATTCTTACTCTATTTAGTATTTGAATATTAGTTCAGGATTTTAATTAGAAAACTTAATTTTGCTTGAAGTTTGGAAATTGTTATGAGCATGGCTTTTCAATCATAACCATTCTTAAAAGGTGTCTGGTTATTAATTATGTGAACCTTATAAACAACATACAAGGAACAAATAAACCATAGCATCTTTATATCACAGTTGTTATGATTAGTTTTAGTGTGAACTGTGAGTGTTGGGCAGCTTATAATACAACCAGACATCAAACAGCTAGTGGCAGTCCTAATGTATCAGTGAATATAATTGATTGTTTTTATAAATTGTGTTGTTGTGAAACAGAAGTACAGATGAACAGATATTTGTTGAATAACGTTTTCTGTACACTCATCTCTTGTTGCTCAACAAAGTTGCAGAAATTATATTGTTGGGTTAAGAAAGATTATCTTTTGTGTTTACTTTAATTATATTATGCTTCTTTTTTAAAATTGAAAAACGTTTTGAATGTACATTTTGAGGTGAAGTACAGTAAGTTTGAATGTTTTAAAACAAATTTTGAAACTCTGTATGCATGTACTGTCAGAGAATTAAAAAAAATAAGTTTAAGAATTTTGATTTTTATGTCTCATATTTATAGAAGTATTAAACCATCAAAGGTCTTTTACGTTTTTTTATGCAGCCTAACAGGGATGGTAAGTAATTGGTGTAGGTAAATAGAATATTAAACAGCTAAACTTTATGAAACACATGTACAAGACTTTTATTGAATCATATATTTATGTTTTATGTATAAAATTTCAAATGTGCCTTTTAATAATGAGTTATTATTTAAAGTGCTTTTACTTACCAGATATTGATATGTGAGATATCTTGCAGATAATGGTATGTGCTCAAGGTGAGTGAAATAAATAATGGAAAACCTTCTTATTTCTTATGTTGATTTTATTTAGTATTATGCAGGTCGTCACAAAATTTCAGTGATATGTAAATTTTTGATGGAAAATTACATTTGTAAAGTTTTTCAGATTATGTGTATTTCTTAGTAAAAACCTGTTTTATTTGTACACTTGTGTATCGGTGTTTATAATTTTATACATTTGTGGACTCATTTGGAAAACAGATTTATTATTTGATAACAAAGAAGATTTTTATCTTTCCACTGAAATTTGTAGAAGAATTGGTTAGTTTGAGAAAATATATAAATTGTTTAAAGCTATTAAACTCATTTTTCAAAATGGTCTTATCTCCTCTCATCCAAAGCTATGTTGATCCTGAATTGCCATCTAAGCATTGCTACAATTTTTTGCTAACATCACAACAGTCTTTTGTACTCCATCAGTTTCGTGCCATTTTAGAACCTATGCTGATCATGTGACTACCCTGAGGATAACAAACAGCCTGGAAAAAAAATGATGAATAGGTAGAATGGCCTGTTGAGACAGAAAATCTTGTACTGCCTCGGACAGGTGCTGGCTGGTGGCAGTATCCAATGTCATGGGGAAGGAAAAGGATACCCGAGACAAAGGAGATGGGGAAAGAAATAGTAGGACAAGTCCCTCTGATAACCCCAAACAACCAATGGATCTATAATGAAAGATGCCAAAGGGTAAAAAAATCATACAGTCAAGCTCCCGCTGGTTAGTCTCTGGTACTGTTAACGACATGCCCATCGACGTTGAATAAAATGACAAGATGAGAAACCCCTGGAATGACTAACAGGGAAGGGTAGATAAGGACCAGGACAGGCAAAGAATAGGGTCTGTCATGGCTCCAACTGCAACAAATGTACAACCAAAAAAAGGAAAGGGTAGAGTGTTGATGCAAAGATTACAGTGATTTGTAGTGAAATGGAGAGTAATTAAAACACGTCTACACATTAGAATGCCAACTGATGAAAGTGAGGATTATTTTAGAGTTGTAGAGGGAGCTAGCTGCACTAATATAGATGGAGCAGTATGAATGGTGGTACTAAGTTCGTTCCACCACAATCTAATTTTCATTCTGCCTTGTTTTACCTTGGAGTCGTTTCTCACCCTTAGGTGGGTTTTTCTCCAGGTTTAAAGAAGAATGTCAGAAATGCTTATTTGCATATCCCAATATCTCAATCCTCTGTTTGGTTTGTCCTCCACAGGATGGTCTATCGATTTACTGCACAGCCCTTCGGACTTGTTTCGGCCCTGTATGTTTGTCAGGCAGTCAGGGCATTCTTTCTTCACTTACATGCTCATGGGTTGCACTTTCCTCTTTCTTTGGATGACTGGCTACTGTTAGCTCGTTCCAAACAGGAGTCTGCCTGTTACCCTTATCAGCTGCTCTTTGAGGCAGCTATAGTGGGCTGGTTCAACAAAGGTTTATCAAGTTGTAGAAGTCCTTACTGTGACCTATTCAATATTATATCCATTTGGGTGTTTTCTTTTAAAACACCCATCTCAGTCTAGCCCACCCTTCTCCTCTTTGACTTTGTTTGATGGGTTTTGTTTCTGTTACAGCTTGCGAGGTTCTATCAGGCTCATATCCAGACCATTTTGTAGGCTCTTCATAACCAGTAGAATCTTGCAAGAGATCCTTTATTGGCTCTTATTGCCCTTTCTCCTACTCTTGTTGATGATCAGCGCTGGTGGTCAGAAATGACTCACACATCAACGGATGTCCTGCTTCCTCCTACTTGTTCGGATCTACACATTTCTTAGATGCATCCCTTCGGGAATCGGGGCATGGGTTGATCAACAAGAAGATTCAGGATTTTGGTCTGTGTCCCAAAAGTCTTATCACATCAACATCCTGGAGCTTCTCGCTGTATGTCGTGTTTTGGGTAATTTTTTCCATCTGGTCATTATTTGTCTGATAATGATCCATTCTGACTTTTCTTCAGTGATCGCTTATCTCTATCACCAGAATGTAACCCATTCTCGATCCCTCTGAATTCATATGTTGGATCTTCTTTTTGGGCCCACATGCTCGATATTCATATCCTTGCATGTCATGTTCAGGTTGTTTTCACTCTTGTCATAGTTTGGATTCCCATCCAGACAAATTCTCTCTAACAGAGTGGTCTCTCGATTCTTTTGTGTTCGAGATGTTAGGACTTTAGTGGGGTACTCCTCACATTGAGGCTTTTGCTATGTCCCTTAACCACAAATTGCCTTGGTTTTGATTTCCAATCCCTTGTTGTCTTGCTCTGGCAATCATTGTGTTCAGCCAGGATAGAACCAACACATTTTTCTATCCTCCTGTTCTCCTTCTTCTCCAAGTGATTTCGATCATCCTTGACATACCATGTTCAGTCCTTCTGATAGCTTTTTCCTGGCCATCTCAGCTGTGGTTTCCATAGTTTCTCCAGCTCCAGCTTCCTCCTCTCTTACCTCTTCCTCTGACCCAATCTTTCTTTGCTACCCTCAATCACCAGTGTTTCATCTGGACTTTCCTGTCCTCCACATTCATGCCTGGTTTTTTCTCTGGTCATTGGCAAGAAGAGGGTTAGCTTCTTTTCTGGCTTGTTTCATTCCCCTTCCTCCATGGTAGTTTCTCAATGCAAATTAAATATTTTTTGTGATTGATGTCTGGGTCCATGGTTTTCCCCTAATCAACCCACTGTTCTTCATCATGCAGATTTCCTCACTTGACTTTTGATTCAGGGGTCTTTTGTTTCATTGATCTTGAACTTTGGGGTGGCCAAGTCCCACAACTTTCATTTTTCACCATTCTGCAGGTATTTACCTCTCCTACACTTTTCCTGTTGATGTATTCCTAACAGATTCATCGTCTTGCCTCAGCAGTCTGCCCTTCTGGATGAGGGTATTAATGTAGTCCTGCACTGCTTCGCTTTGCCTATATTTAGACCACTCTCCCAGTGCTTCTTGTTTCACCTTCCTTTATGTCTTTCTTCCTTCCTTCTATTATCCTGTGGATGTCGGTGGTCTGTTTATTTGCCATTGATGGTTCACATACTCTTTATCTATCAACATATCTTCTCCTTTCTCTGCATCATTTTCCTTCCTAACTCTTTGATGGCTCATGAGAATAACTCCTCCATTTAGCCAATTTCCCTTCTTTTTGTTTCCCACCTTCATCCTCAGCCTGTTCCAGATGTAGTTCTATGTCCTGTTCATGCTCTTCTCTGTTATATTACCCAGACAGCTTCCTTCTGTGGTGTCCGTTCCTGCCTTTCTCTCCCTTGGCAGCCATCCTCTGTTCGTGATCTTTCTTCATCCACCTTCGCCAATTGGGTTTGGCTCTTAAATTGATTGTCTTATTCCTCCTTATTGTCTTCATCCCATACTTTTTTATGGGTGTATTCTTATCCAATTCGACACCC